CCCCAAAACCCCAAAACCCCAGCTGTCAAGATTTATAAAATAAAATATATATGATACTAAAACAAATTTGTTCATTATAATTTAACCAAATAAATTATTTAAGAGAATTTTCCAACAATTAGAATGGAAGAGGATCCAATAAAATTCAGTTAACTAATTGAAGAAAGGAAGCAGCAAACTAGAAATAGAAAAGTTGCTGCTCAGATTATGGACAGCATTGAATAATTAGAGAGTGAGCCTACAGCAGTAAAAAGATGGGTCTGGGAATTAATCTAAAATGCCTAGGATTCAGCTTATAAAGAGACCAATGTCAGAATTAAAATTGAATTAGATAGTTAACATCTTAGATTCTATCACACAGGTAGACCATTTGTCTTAAACGATCTATTGAATTTGATTGAACAAGGATCAAATAAAGAGAGACCTTAATACAATCTAACTATGCAAAAAACTTAAACTAGCTTGAAATCGCCTCAAGATATGGGAGGTACCACTGAAAATCCTGAGGAAAAAGAGATAATATCTCTAAAAGACATGAAGGTGCCTGAAACAACAGGAAGATTTGGAACAGGATTCCTCACAACTTACTTATTATCAAAATGCTTAGAGGTGTCAGGTATATTTCATTTCAATGAAGAGGGATAGTACAACTTTAGAAATTTTAAATTGAATCTAAACCGAGATACTTATGATTTAGATAAGATGATTGAGCTTAACAGATAATCATTCAATTTATTTAAGGATCTTAATGACCATACTAAGAGTCCTATTCTTAAAGACTACAAGCCTGGTTAAGATTTTGATACCTGTTTTGCATATGAATTAAAGGAAGAAGGAGTTAAAAATGCCTAGGAAGGGTTAAAAAGTCTAGTAAAAGCAGCTCCTTATGTACTATCTTTCAGTAAGAGGATAGATTCTTTTGAAATTATTAGTAAGATTGATAATTCTGATCACATTTTGAGTATCAATCGTAAACCAATAATGGAGTAAGGAAACATAGCGATAATAAATTATCATGAAAACAATGAATGTAGATTAATAATGAGAGTTAGGGGTACTTACTCCTAATTAGGTGTAGAGATAAAAAAGAATTGCATTGGTACTTATGAGTTTGTAGAAAAAAGCATAGAGGTACCAAACTTCTTTGTAGACTATCCATTGATTGGCTCTGAGAATCTAAATTTCTCAGTTGTTTTTAATTCTCATTTGTTCTATCCGAATGAAAAAAGATCTGGAATAAGTCTAGAAAAGGGACCTAAAGCAATGGTTAATAGAGAAATTATGCAAGAATGTCAAAAGTTGTTTGATCAGTTTTTAGATTATGTAATCAAGAATAAATTCACTGGAATGCATTGCTTGAGGCTGTAGTTGGATAAAAACTAAGTTATCTGTAACTTTCTGAAAGACATTTTAATCAAGCCAATCATCAAAAAATTTGTTGCTCAACCCATCATTGAGAGTTAAGTTGGATTCATTAATCTTAAATAAGCACTATTTCCAAATATAGAAAAGGCATCAATTGAGACTGGTGATAAAGACAAATTGATGCAGCTATGGGAGATATTATCTAAGATTTACAGCTCATAAGGATACCTAATAAAGAAAGATTTTGATTATATCAAGAGCTGGATTTAGGTTTTTGAGGATCCTGATTGGAAAATTCATTTAGATCAGAAAAATAAAATAAATATTAATGAAGCAATCGCATAGGTGTAAATTGCAAAGACTATTGATGGGATAAAATAATAGCATGGTTTGACTTATACAGATGTGCAAGATTTAATGAAAAAACTTTATGAATATATAAATCAGCACTATAGTTCCTATTAGCTGAAAAGTTTGATTTAAAGTTACTCAATTTTTGTAAATCAAAATGGAAACCTCTGCAAATGTGAGGATTTACATTTAGATAATGACATCGAAGAAATTTATAAAGACATAGTCAAAGGGTACGGATATAATTTGAGAGGTAAACTTCTATCAAAGGATTTCAATGTGCCTTTTGAAAAAGATTTTAAGAACTACTTTTTCTATACACTTGAGAGTGAGATTACTGATTCCATAAAAAGTTCTCTTAACTATTTAAAGGAATGCAAATAGAATAATAAGAAGTCACTAGGTTATAAGAATAAATATTCTATAGCACCTGTCAAGAGGCCAACTAAACTTAGCTTAAGCTACTTAAGTAGCATTGAGGAATTATCATTTAGAATATTAGGGCTAGAAAGGAGATAGGTCTAAGTGTATAATAGTCTGTTTACTGGCCAGATAACATAATAATAGAAAGAAGATGAACAAAGAAAGTAATTAATAGACTTGCTAAGCATGACTGCCCTTCATGCTAATATTAAAATATAAGTAGCAACAAATATACCCTAAACAGCAAGAGATATCTCAATGGATGTAATTTGTTTCAATATTAGAAGAATAATCTTATCTTGCACGAATAAGATAGAATTGATAAGCAAACTTAGCATTAAGAGTGACATATATGAATTCTTGAATTCATTTTATACAATAGTCAAAGAGAGGTGCAAGCCAAGTTCTGCTAAAAAACTAATTGACTTCCAAATATTCCTTAATCAAAATGATAAGTTTTTTAGATTCGCAAAAAATTTGATGCAATCTCAGAAGTAAGTTACTATTAATTAGTTAGAAGAAGATGAGAAAGTTGGTAATAAGCAAGGTATTAAGGATATACTTTTAATTTACTTACAGCTCAAGGATATGACCTTAAACAATTTAAATGAAAAGATAATTCACTCAAGCTTATCGGAAAATGCTGAAAAGATGATGATAGGCTCGAATTCGAAGGAATATTTGAAATGCAAGGATATTTGTTTAGAAGTTGATTAGATTCTTGTTAAGAACTGCAGTCAAAAGGATTATCTCAGGAAGAATGAGTAGCTTATTATGAAGTTTGACAGACTCTATTTATCTACATTTAAGGAGCAGCATAATCAGTCATTATTCCCACAATATACAAAGGAAAGAAAAGAAATTATAGTTGGATTAAGACAGTAGGGAGAAATGTAAGAGATAATGTTTGAAATTTATGAAAACGAGCAACAAAATTTGTTGAAATCGTTGATTAAAGTATCTAAGCATTGCTATATACAGCTAGATGAGATAATGAAGATATTCAAAGATTATAACAATCCCCCTGATAACTTGAAAGACCTTATTAAGTATCTTAAAGAGAAGGATATTAATAAAGTTAAAATTACTGAAATGATTTAGTATTTACAAACAAAATGACATCTATATCAATGATTTAGATGGTTTTGAATAATTATGCTAAAAACATATTTTCACCTAAACTACTACTGTGATCATATCTTTTGGGGTTTTGGGGTTTTGGGG